ACACACACGCAGCACCCTCAGACACACACAGCACCCTCAGAGACACACACAGCACCCTCAGACACACACAGCACCCTCAGACAGACACTGCTCACTCAGACCGACACTGCTCACTCAGACACACACTGCTCACTCAGACAGCCTGTGTGTGTTGGTGGATGTCTGTATGTATGTCTGTGCCTGTATGTGCTTGTGCATGTCTTTGTGTGCCAGCCCTTGTGTATCTGTAAGTAACTGTGAGTGCCAAGAAGCAGTGTTAATTTTGTTGACTAACAATTTTAGTCATATTTTATTCGACCAATATTTTTGAGATTTAGTCGACTAGAACTAAAACAATTCAGAGGACTAAAATACAACTAAAACTAAAATGGCTTTTTAGTCAAAAGACCATGACTAAAACTAAATTGAAATTTACCACCAAAATTAACACTGGTGGGTAAGACACATGGGTGAGGGAGGAGAGGAAATTACACATGGGGGGGGGGAGGGCTGGGAGAATGAGACACATGGAGGGACTGGGGAAGAAATAAGCGCCTAGATGGGCTTGGGGGGAATGAGACACGTGGGGTAAATGAGATGCATGGTGGGGCTGGCGGGAACACAAAGCAACATAGAGGGGCTGTGGTAGAAAAAGACAATGTGCTGGGGGGAAGAGACCCACAAATCGGGCTGTGGAGAGAAAGAGACACACAGTGGGGCTGGGAGGAAGGAGCAAAAGAGACAGACAGGGGCTGAGACACACCAAGAGACACAAAGGGGCTGTGGAAGGGGCAAAAGAGACAGATCTGGGCTTGGGAGAGAGACACCTAGAGAGGCTGAGGGAACACAAAGACATAGAGTGGCTGGGGAAGGGGCAAAAGAGGCAGATAGAGGCTTTTACTAAACCCATTAGATTTTAGACATGTGCAATTCGTTTCGTTCCGAATGTCAATTCGGACAAATTTCGGGCAATTCGGACATTCGGATACATCCGAATGTCTGAATAAATGAATTGCTGAATTGCCGAAGTGCCAAATTGCCGAAGTGCCGAAATTGACGAATTTTCCGAAGTGTCGAAGTTCTGAAGTGCCGAAGTTTCTGAAGCTGCAGAAGTTCCGAAGCACAGTATTGCCGAAGTACTAATATACCTACCCAGTGGAAGAATGAAGAATGTTGCACTGTATACAAGTTTAAATAAAAAGTATACAAACATAGCCAGGATTCAGCTGTAAGCATTTGCAACACTTACAACAATCAAATAACACACATTCATATGAAATGTAAGTTACTTAGCCAGTCAATAGAATGACAGGAATGAATAAGTAGATAACTCCCAATTCCCACGGTATTAGGGAGCTATCTACTAAAAGGCTGAAAGACCTAAATTGGTCGTTCAGCCAAATTTACTAATACTAAGTAAAAATTACTTAGTATTAGTAAATTATGCTCCTACGCGGGCCGGGGGGGAGGACAATAGGTCCCCCCCTTATTCTAATTTAGGGCCCCCACCCGCCGCTCATGGGTGGGGGCCGGGGGGAGGACAAAAGGCCCCCCCCATTAGTTTACTATAGGGCCCCCACCCTCCGCTCAGGGATGGGGGCCGGGGGGAGGACAACAGGTGTTCCCCCCCTTATTCTTCTTTAGGGCCCCCACCCGCCGCTCAGGGGTGGAGGCTAGGGGGGGGGAAAACGATAGAAATTCCCGAAATTCCGAAGTTCCGGAATGCCGAACCGAACCAAAACTTTTCCCCATGCACATCCCTATTAGATTTCAGTTGTTTGTGTGTATTTGTTAGGGTTCTGGTAGTGTGCTGTGTGTGAGGGTGCTGTGTGTGTTTGTGAGGGTGCTGTGTGTTTGTGTGTGTGCTGGGGTGCTGTATGTGTGAGGGTGCTGTATGTGTGTGGGTGCTGTATGTGTGTGGGTGCTGTGTGTGGGAGGGTGCTGTGTGTGTGTGGGTGCTGTGTGTGTGTGGGTGTGCTGTGTGTGAGGGTGCTGTGTGTGTGAGTGTAATACTTATTTTGTAATATTTCTTTAATTGGAACTCAACTGCAGCATTTCTTGGTTGCAACAACAATAAGGTTCACCTCCTTTTATATTGGTATGAAACTATGGTCACTGTACCTTTAAATATCCATGTAGGTAAAATTAGGCTTTGTAGCAATCCCTTATGAGTAAGAGGAATAATTAGACAAAGTGACACTTTAGTGAGTTTTAGATACTGTGTAATATAAATAATAGTAATTGACTTGTTTGGTAAAAGTATTACTTAACTTAAAGGCAGTTCTGGCACTGGAAGGGTTAATTCACCCAATGAAGGAGAAATTAGAAGTCCGTTTCAACAAGCTGAGAACTAGGAGTGGAGAGTGGGGAAGTCCGTTTTAACAAGCCGAGGTCTGGGAGTGGAGAAGGTAGAATTCAGAGTTACAAGCCGAGGTCTAGGAGTGGAGAAGGTAGAAATCCGTTTACAAGCCGAGGTCGAGAAGTGGAGAAGGTAGAAATCCGTTTACTAGCCGAGGTATAGAAGTGGAGCAGGTAGGATCAGAAGTAGAGCAGCTGATCTTCATGCAGCACCTGTGCGAATAATCCAGCCCTTTGAATCTGGCGCGGTCCTCCTAAGTATCGTGGAGGGACCGCGTCAGAGAAAGGGGCGGGGCTGAGCGCCGTGAACCCGGAAGTGGGTTCCGGCGATAAATTACATGCCATGCTATACCTGACAGTGAGGGTGCTGTATGTGTGAGGGTGCTGTATGTGTGTGGGTGCTGTGTGTGTGAGGGTGCTTTGTGTGTGAGGGTGCTGTGTGTGTGGGTGCTGTGTGTGTGAGGGTGCTGTGTGTGTGGGTGCTGTGTGTGGTGCTGTATGTGTGTGGTGCTGTATGTGTGTGTGTGGAGGGTGCTGTATGTGTGTTAGGGTGCTGTGTGTGTGAGGGTGCTGTGTGTGTGTGGGTGCTGTATGTGAGGGTGCTGTGTGTGTGAGGGTGCTGTGTGTGTGTGGGTGCTGTATGTGTGTGGGTGCTGTGTGTGTGCTGTATGTGTGTGTGTGGGTGCTGTATGTTTGGGTGATTTGTGGTTGTGGAGGTGGGGGCAGATTAGTTAATAAATATCCCCCCTCCCTTCTTATCTTTTGTAGGGAGGGGGGATCCTTGTTGCTGCTGCCTTCCCTGGTGGTCCAGTGGAGGTGGGGCAGATTACTTAATATCCCCCCTCCCTTCTTACCTTATGTAGGGAGGAGGGACCATGCTGCTTCCTTCCCTGGTGGTCCAGTGGAGAGTGAACTCTAGCCTGTGGGGCTAGAGTTCACTCTCGCGAGATTTGAGCATTGCCGCGGCAACGCTCAGATCTCGCGAGAGGAACTCGGCGGAGCTGCTGGCAATAGCTCCCCGGGTCCTCTCCTGCCTCCCTCCCTGCATGTGGGCCGGTGGGGAGGGAGGATTAGAGCAGAGCCGGCGCTCGGATAGTGCCGGCTCTGCATGAGCCGACAGGGGGGATCCTGAGATCTCCCCTGCCGGTCTCACTCCATAGGTGTGCCGCGGGGATTAGGGCGCAGTGCGCACGCCTATGATCTCCACTCTCTGCGTGGAGGACCTGAACGCTCCCCATAGAGATGCATTGATGCAATGAATCTCTATGAGGAGATGCCGATTGGTGCGGTGAAGCACTGCGTTTTGCCACCTGTGCGCATTAGCCTCCCAATGCTTTCTTATGGGAATTGAATTGGCATTGGCTGAAATCATCCAGTTGTCAGCCAGTGAAGTGAAGAGCACACTCTTGTTACTTCAAAATGAGCAAGACAACTTCATTTTTTTTACTGCTGTGCAATAGCGTACATTCACAATTTCAGTCCAATTACGAAACTTTCCTTAATATGTCAAGGTAGTTGTACTGAAACAATGATTATATGCAAATGCACGTCTGCTTACAACAAATCTGCTGTTTTATTTATTTTGAAGCCCTATGGGTGCTTTCTTTCACAGTTGAGTGATAGTTTTCAGTTTTAGGTTTTTTTCCCCCCACGTCCACATGTGCACACTATGCTGGCGCGATGCATTATGGGGCTGGTATAGACATTTTTTCCAGGGTTGCTTTTCATTCCCAGTCCGGCCCTGGCAGAAACACCTCCCTGGCTGAGGTTTTCTTCCGCATCCATTATTTCCACAGTGCTAACAGTAGCAGCAGGGGCGTTGCGCTAGGGCCCGCCTGATTCCCCCTTCTTTGTGAGCTGTATTACAGTTCATTGAGAAGTTTAGGAAAGCTGAGAGTTGGTGCACTCCTTCGCTAGTAGTTCCAGCACAGGGGTTTCTTAATGAGAAGCCTCTGTTTGGAGGATTTCCATATAAAAATTAAAAGTTCTTGGTGGGGAGAGCGGAGAACTTGCAAGGTTGCAGATGGTAGATCTACAGATTTGGCAAGCTGTTTTTAGATATACCCCATAAGAAAACATGCAAAAATAAGAGAATGCATGTTTTCATTGAGTGTAAATGTAGTTTAAAAAAAATAAAAATGGGGGCGGAGCCTGACTAACAAGCGGACTAGACGTACATGTCGAGAGCTCCTGAGTCTGGAGCCGAGATTCGGGGTCTTACACCCGACCACCTGATCACATCGACTGCTCAACGCAATAATCGTGACAAGGAGACTGCACTGCAACCGGAGATACCCGACACTTGGCTCTCCGGTGCTGGGTGGACCAAATCGTGACCTGCGGCCTGTGCGGGTGGGAGCCGAGGAGAGACGGCCGCTCTCCCGGTTCTCTGGCTGACAAGGGAGCACTCCCAAATCACCTCCCTCCCCCCCCCTCTGGACCGGTGGGGGTTATCCCGGTCCTCGAGAACCCAAGCTGCCTCAGTCGCGGACGCTTCTGTGAGCCCTGCAAACCTCCCTAGCCACACGGGAAGGGAGTCACTTAAGATGGCGGAGGCACCAGGCTCTACAACACGAGGTCTGATACTGCCACAACCTGACTCAGCAGGCCCTAAGACCAAAGTAATGGATACTCTGGGAGCCATAATCGACAAGTTTTGGGCCATGCTGCTCAACCGTTCAAGGCAAGCAATAGCCACACGGGAGCCCGGTCCGGAAGACAGTGTAAGAAATAAGGAGCGGCCTGGGAGGCCTCTTATGGGCCGACAGCTACCCCACACTACTCCGACTACACTAAAGCGACGGAAGCCGCGGAAACAACACTACCGGCTGAGACAGCGAGCCGCGGACAGGTACCCTGCCCACCGCTGCCGTGATGTACCGAACCCCAACGTACTGCCACCTGTCCTGGGCTACATGGAGAAACCACCGCGGCCACCTCTGAGCCGCTCCCCAGGCCGTCCGGGGCAAGACATCTCCCCACCAACTGAGAGAGCCGCTGCCTGGCGAGGCACCACCATGCTGGACAGTCCGGTATACCCTGTGGGCATAGGCTGAAAGGGATCAACCAGAGTGACATGTGGAGCTGGAGCCACCTCTATACAATTAACCTCTTCACGGGACATTGTAACAGTCAGCAGAATAAGGCTCCGACATCCACACTCAGCGTGTACATTGTTCATACTTTTGTTTAATTTTATCTGTACCAGATTTGCCATGTTATATGATTTCTTAAGCACTTTCCTTTTCTTGCATCGCTTCAACCTGCATAAGTGCCCATAACCTCTCTCAGCAGGATTAACCTGCGATTAGAAGTCTAACATTGAATACCCAACTCTGTGTCTGCTTAGGTTTGGGTAATGTAATCTACATCAAAGTAAATAATGCAGTAACTCAGACATGTGATGTACTCTATTAGCTAATATCATGCAATGTATAAGATTGTGTCTCATAAGCCTAGCAGGAATAGCACCCTAAGTCTGAACATAAATGTATGAGCCCAGCCCTCAGAAATGCTGGACACACTATTTCAGCCACCACCATGCCACTAATTTATCCAGAATAAATAGCCGGCCGAAAAAAGGGCACTAGCCGAGCGGGCCCACACAAGCCCTCTATTGTACAGCATGGCATAAAGGCGATGCAGGATTGTTTTGATGCTCCCAAACCTGAGGCAGAGCTAGATAGCCTAGCCACACGGAAGTCTTTGGACGCCATTTAATATATAGCTAACTGTGGCCGTAAACGCGGGCCGATACTGGGTTCTCAACCATGCAAAAACGCAGTCATACCGAATATTAATGTTAAGCTACTGTTGTTATACAAAAATGTGCTGATTATCTTACTGCTCCTACTGTTATGCTTGAAAATATGCTCGAGGAATGCTGTTGGGGCACCACGAGCTTGCATGTATTTCTTTCAACGCACAATAAAAAATAAAGAATTAAAAAAAAAAAAAAATGTATACATTTTTATGGTGGTGGTGGGGGGCAGCAATGAAGTGTTCCTTTAAACTGCGTGCTTTTTCTATTTTATTATAGTGTTTGAAAACCAGTTTTTGTCACAATTCATAATGTTATGGTAACTGTGGCGCAACCTCCCCCAGCAACATTAAATACATCTATGTGCAACATTTTATACTGAAACGCTGCACACCCAGGGCTTCTTGTACCATGACCACTTCAAAATATTTATGTGGTTATGGTGCTTGAAGTAACCCTTTAAATAAAGGGTTACTTGCCTCTAATCCAGTTGTGAGAATGACTCATTTTTGCAGCTCCTTTCTGCCCACCCAGAGATCATCACTACAATTCAACACTTGTCCTAAAGACGAATTGGGAGCCAGGGCACATGTCCAGAAATTGCTGTGCTTACACAGCTTTGTATCCATTGCTTCACTGAGAAGCATTGTCTTCTACCTTTTTGTTGGGGGGTGGGGGACAAAACAGTAGGAGGAGCACCCTTTTGGCTGTCTTATTCACAGGGTGCACCTTCATAAAAGTGCCAATTTGTCTTGAAATCTGCACTTGTATAGTGTGAAAGAGAGGACTCTGTTAACAACTAAAACAGGTAAAGCAAGCTGATGATGTGATTTAGGGGATTGGAGTCTTCCTATAAAGTCTGTCATGGTAAATATTCACTAAACTCTCAATTTAAGTGAATTAAATCCGAATTACAAACATTTAGGTAAAAAAAAAAAATTGTATATAAAAATGAGCTGATCTGGAAATATTTTCCAACTCAGCCTAGCTATTTTAGTCTTAATTTTACATAATCAGATTTAATTTGCCTAAATTATGCCATAATGAATACTGAATTACAGCACATTTAAATCCCAATGGCAAAGCATGGGCTATGGGCTGATGTGGAAACTCTCTCCTAGCTGACTATAGTAACAGCAAGGCTATTTTGGGCTCAGTTTTTCCATGTGGATTTTGGTTTTCTGCAATTCAGAATTTAATTCAGAACTCTTCCTATGTCATTCCCAAATAGAGAACTAATTCTCTGCACACATTCTCCTTGCTAGAAGGTTTCCATGTGCAGACACTCTGATCAGGCACCTGTGAAGCCTACTAAGTGCTGCTCAGGCCCCCTTGTTGCTGGGATACCGGCCTGGGCGAGGCCTGTGAGTGGGCGTGGCCTCGGATGGAGGCTGTGCAGTGAAAGCAGGGGGTGGGGGGAGGCTGGTGTCAGAGGAAGGGGGTAACTGGAGGAGGGCAGGGCTGTCTGACACAGGGGGTGGGTGGGGGGAGGAGGGCAGGGCTGTCTGACACAGGGGGTGGGAGGGGGGAGGAGGGCAGGGCTGTCTGACACAGGGGGTGGGTGGGGGGAGGAGGGCAGGGCTGTCTGACACAGGGGGTGGGTGGGGGGAGGAGGGCAGGGCTGTCTGACACAGGGGGTGGGAGGGGGGAGGAGGGCAGGGCTGTCTGACACAGGGGGTGGAATAGGACAGGAAGCCTGCAGGCATCACACTGGGTTATAATAAGAGCGTGTGCGAGGCAGCGTGCTACATACACAGTGCCAGGAGAGCATACTGCCGGCTGCAGCTTCCTCCAGTCTACTCTGTAACCACTCACCCCATAGCACCCCGCGTCCAACATGAAGGTGGCAGCAGACGAACCCCAGGCTAAGAAGCAGAAACTGGAAGAGAAAGAGCCCAGGTAACCTCATCTGGGCAGCATGGGGGCACAGTCAGACATCTAACATGGGGGCACAGCCTCATCCCACTGGGCAGCATGGGGGCACAGCTACCCCTCCACCATGGGGGCACAGCCTCATCCCAATGGGCAGCATGGGGGCACAGCCTCATCCCAATGGGCAGCATGGGGGCACAGTCAGACATCTACCATGGGGGCACAGCCTCATCCCAATGGGCAGCATGGGGGCACAGTCAGACATCTACCATGGGGGCACAGCCTCATCCCACTGGGCAGCATGGGGGCACAGTCAGACATGCAGCATGGGGGCACAGCCAGACATCTACCATGGGGGCACAGCCTCATCCCACTGGGCAGCATGGGGGCACAGTCAGACATCTACCAAGGGGGCACAGCCTCATCTCACTGGACACTATGGGGGCACAGCTACCCCTCCACCCAGGGGGCACAGCTACCCCTCCACCATGGGGGCACAGCCTCATCCCTCTGGGCAGCATGGAGCACAGTTTTGTTTCCCCTGGGCACTATGGGGCACAGCCTCATCCCTCTGGGCACCGCCTCATCCCTCTACAAAGGTGCACGGCATCATACCTCTGGGCACCCTGGGGTACAGTCATCCCGTTGGGCACAGCTTCATCCCACTGGGCAGCATGGGGTCACATCCTCACCCCTTTACAGCCCTCATTTACATCCTGTTAAAAGGGATTTAAAAAAAAAAAATATATAAATATATATATATATATATATATATATATATATATATATTCTGCATTTGAGGCCCTTTACGGCAAATAATAAAATACACTTTTACCCCATTTTTAGGAAATGTATTTCTCAGGGATATTGACTTTAGCCCAGGTTGGGGAAGCTATATGACGTTACCAATGGATCATGCATAGACTATCTTGTTTCCAGCTGGCAGAGCATTGTGAGCGTAGTAGTCCAACTGGTGAGGTGCCAAAGGTTGCTTACCCATTGCTTCTGAGTAGCTTCTTTCTATCTGAGTGAGCATCATGAAACATGGAGTCTGTGTTGCCAGAGGTTAGCTACTGCACTTGTTGAGTGGATTTTAAACAATAAAGTTACTTGTCACAGTCTGTTACTTGATTTTTAAACTGATCCTGTAGCCCAGTGAACAGTTGAATATTTTGCAGGAGTTTGCTTGGCTGAATGCTTCTTGCTTATGGGATTCTAGTAAAGAATAGTCATTTAAAAATGTCCTTTTGTTAAATTGAGCTATCAATTAAGGCTTCACAGACCAATAGCAACCTAGTTATCTCCACAGAAATGCATGTCCCTATATATTGATGGCTTCTCTCCCTCCAAATTCCTCTGTCCATTCACTGTGTGTGGGAGTTACTTTGCATTGAGTGATGTACTAGCTGGGAACTTTTTTTTTTTTTCTTATTGTCTTGTCTAATAATTGCCCGCTCTGAGTAAGCAGTAGATCTTAAGCTTTCAGTCTCCATTTGCTATTTGCACATTTCACAGAAAAGTGTCTATTAACAAAAGTCATAAAATTAAATTGTGGATATAATCCTGTTTAATTTTTATTAACCTTTTGAGCGTTTGTCATACCAGTATGTAATGCATTTCACAGCGCTGCGGAATGTGTTGGCGGACTATGAATAAAGTATAATCATTTAATTGGCTTCCTGATTTCAATTTGCTGAACAGTGAATCCAAAAAGTGAATTGCAACATTTAGGCCAATGTAGCTAATTTGGGGATATTTTGACGTTTTCCTCAAGACTTACTTTAGCCCAGTGGTTCCAAAACTTTTTAGGTTCAAGGTGCCCTTAATATTTAAATATTTTTCAAAGGCACCCCAAGTCAAAACAACTTTCTAGGTTGTATATATGTACAGCGGTGTGGCATATACTGGGCCCCTAATTTTGGAAGGGGCACTGGTAGATTATTTAAAGAAACAATCCAGGCACAATAACCACTACATTAGGTTGTAGTGGTTATGGTGCCATAGTGCCCTCCCAGGGTAAATTGTCAACTGTTTAAGAACAGTTTCTGTGTGTGGCAGTTTGTGCATGTGGGGGGTATAGTGTGTGTGTGGTGAGGGGGCAAATTAATAAATATATTCTTTTATTTTTATTAAAAATGATACCTGCCCCTCTCCCCTCCCTGCTTACCTCTTGCCTAGGAGGAGGATATTTCCTTTAATCCCTGGTGGTCCCAGTGTCCCAGCCTCAGGAGCTGCTAGAGTTTACTCTTGCGAGGTTCGGAGCGTTGGCGTGGTAACTGTGGCAACGCTCCAAGCTTCTGAGAGGAGAACCCGGCATAGCTGCAGGTTAGAGCTTCCCCGGGTCCTCTCTCCCTCCCCTGCCGGCTGTCAGCAAAGTGCTAGTTGGCTGGAGAGGGAGATCTCTGATCTCCCCTCCGATCCTTC